ACGCAATTATATGAATAGTTTGATGATTGAGTTGTACTCAGAATGCACATAGGAACGAAGTAGAGAATGCGAAATTATGTAGTAGTTCTAAATGTATACAAGAATTATAGGCAGTTAGGGAAACAGGCAGACAAACAAAATCAAATCATCAAAAATCAACAAAGTTGCTAAATGTCCCTTGAAATCCAAGTTCATGTGGAGTTTATTTTTTGGCGCAAGTGGAGTTTCATCCCTCCAAATTCTCCGTTTGATATTTTTGTCAATGAATCTTGAAGGGTATCCATTTTGGATGAAGATTCCTCTCAAAAGATGTAATTCTGTTTCTAGAACATCGGGACTGCAGATGCGTCGGATGCAGGTGGCAAGAGATTTAATTCAATTCCGCTTTTGTTAGATGGGTAGCCAGCTATAGAGGCTTGTTAGTTGACCATTCGAAGTAGCTCTTCTATGGATCGACCTTCTTAAGGTCCCGTCAGTTCTTCTTGTTAGTTCCACATCGAGAAAAGGAATTTTTGATTCCTTTTTCATTTTATTGCTGGATAGCAACAGTTAAATGTCTGCAGCAGTAGATTGGGGTTATTACTGTTGTCACAAATGATGAATATGTCATAGACGTATCTTTTATACAGTCGTAAATTCTAAACGGTCGGCTTTAGTGAACCTTTCTCGAGGCTTGCCACGAAGCAGTCTGGTAGTCGTGGACCCAACAGAGATCCCATTGCACTACCATCTTTTTGTTTATAGATGATGTCGTTGAAATTGAAATGTACGTTCAGAGTGTATCTCAGTAGTAATTCCTTCAAATATGCTGTTGGTACTCCAATTTGAGATTGTTTTCATCTATATATTTATATATAAGGCAAACTGTTTCCGTGAGTGGGACATTGGTGAAAAGTGATTCAATGTCGAAGGACAGCATAATTTTGTTAAATACATCCAGGTCTTGCATGTAGTCGATGACCTCATAATGTGTTTTTCCTGGAGCCATAATAGCTCAGTGGTGTAAGGTCTCTAATTGTAGCTCTTGGGTGATATGGACTCATATCTCAAAGTGGACATTAGTTCCTCCGCCCCCATAAGTCACCTGGTACGGCCGTAGGTGGTCTACCTCTCGAATCACTCTCATGTAGCCACGCGTTCAAAGCCTCTTCAAAGTAAATCCTATTCACTAACTTCATACGGTGAGGTGTTTTGCATGAAACTGAAAGGGTGAGTAAGAAAGTCTGGTGCTTTCAACCTAACTGGGAGCTGTAAAACCCTGATTCCAAACCTGTGGTGTGTACATTGGCTTCAGAATCCGATTGGATCTAATGGCATATAAAGCTGTTTTAGTCGCCGGAATCCATGCAAACTCAGCTACTGGCGCTACTCAACTGCCTTGTGAATCAGACTTTAAGTCAAAGGCTTGGCAGCTGGCCGCCTAAGATAACCACCTGCTTCAATCTGAGCGTCCGGGCAGTATCCGAGTTCTTGTATAAAATATGAGATCTTGTTAGTGCTCATAGTGTATCATGCTTGTGTTATAATAATAATAATAATAATAGGTTTCCACTGAGACTGAAACGAAGCTCTCCTATACACATAACTATCTTTTTATTACTAAGTAATGTACCAGTTATTTTTTCGCCTTTTATCTATTCTCGAAATAGATGTTTTACGATGACTGAAGTAATACGTCGAGTTGTTGATGAAACGAGAAGAGAATGTGAAGGACTTTTACGTACTTGGGTATTCAATAAAAATGGTGCTGCTGGTTGTTTCATTATCAAAAATGAGGTAAGAAGAGTGTAATACGTATTAAGTATATCTTTGTCCTAACTTTCGAAAGAAAAAAACAACTTTGGAGTAGAATTAAGTGTTAGTTAGTCTGCTCATTTTCTTTCTAGTTATGTAGTGTCTTAAATTACACATATATTTTGCTTTATATTGGATATTATATAAACGAACACTTGTATATGGCATTTTTAAGAGAAAAGTAACACTACTTCTCTATGGGATGAGAAAAAAGCCTTTCACTCAGTGTTTATAGCCCGTTCGGATCATTGATGCTTCACATTTTTAAGGTATATCGCTCAGTGACATTTGGCATCCCATATATATACATATATATATATGCTCAATACTCAAGATCAGATGGCCAGAAAAGATCAGCAAAAGGGATCTCTGGCAGTGAACCAACCAGGAACCGATTGTGCAACAAATGTGCAGGAAGAAATGGAGGTGGATTGGCTATACTCTGAGAAAACCATCAAGTGACATCACACGACATGCTCTCGAGTGGAATCCGAACGGGAAGTGGCAATTTGGTCGTCCAAAGGTGATATGGAGGAGGTTATGTGAAGAGGAGATGAAAGCATGTGGGAAGACGTAGGGCCAGGTGAAAATGGAGACGTGTGACTGAAGCCCTATGTTCCTCTAGGAACTAAAGGAGACAATAATATTATATATATATATATATATATATATATATATATATATACATGTATATATATATATACAAAGGTGGTAATATTGCTGGAATAGTCAATAGAAGGTTGAATACGTCACCAACCTGACCTTATCCTGCGGGTGTGTTAGTTCCTCTTTATCGAAAAACATGCTCTTTTCTTGAATCAAAAGTTGACAGATACCCTTCTCATGTTAACTCCAGCTGTGTATACAGATATACATGTATCTACAGGAACAGCCAAACAGAGAGAACAGAAAGAACGGCACACCTGTGTTTTTCTGAACATGTACCAAAAAGCATACGTCTCAACGGAACAAACGCTTTCAATAGTGCCATTGCTAGGCATATCCTCATTAATAGACAAAATCGCCCAGTTCTCTTCCAGTTCGCTAAAGTAATCTTTATCAAATGTCTGAAACTCGATTTATGTTTTCAGAAAGAATTAGTTATCAGTCTTTCCTTACCCTGGTAACTGGATGTCTTTATTCTCCCTTTCACGTGATTGCGTAATCTTTTGCTTTAACCTCTAGTCTTTGTTACGTAATTCATTTACCATACATTGGTTTTTTTTTCTAAACTTGGGCTCTCTGTCAACTAACATTTTGTGAAAATTGCAAGTATGTTAAAATTCTTTCTGTATAGAAACTTAATAATATCTCTAGGCTGTAAGCAGCTGATGAGAAGGCAACGAAATAAATGATGGTATCATCTTATTCTACACAAACTGTTGTTTTCCTGCTTTATTCAAATTCATAAAGATGAATAGATGCATGAAGGAAAAACTTGTTCAAGGATGTTATCAGAAAGTAGGTTCAAACTAAAACAACTATCAAAAGAAAAAAGACGCTAACAATAAACCCGATAACATGAAATTGTGAACGACAGTCTTCACCGTCCAAAAATGTGACTATTTGAGGAAGCCAAACTAAAGGAAATCATTCAGTGTTAGCCATTTCCACTAATCAATTTCATAATATTAAGGCAATACAACTCAAGTTCAAAACTGTTTGTCAAGTAATCCCAAGTAGTCAATTTTAATACAGGCAAATTGACTGAAACGCATAAAACAATCAACACAGTATCACATAGTTTTTATGATATTCTAAATTAATTAATTCCCCCCCCCCGTTTGTTTTTTGTTTTCACTTTCAGTTAGTTCAAGCTGCAGACTGTTACCGAGATGTATTACGTTCAACTGAAAGTCTCGAAAGACATCATGGTATTCTTGCTGACTGGAGTCAACGACTTCATTCAGTAACAAATTTACACTGGTTAATTGAAAGTAAAAAAGTTCCACTATTAGATGAACCTTTACCTGTTCTACCGAATAGACCACCACCGTTATTACAAAATGCCTCATGCTCTGTTGTTTCAATCAAAACTAAAAAATGCGAAGAGTTTAGTCTTGAAGGATTAGATCCTCGTGTGGATAGAGATCTACAGGCTAAAGCTGAACGCATGCGAACTACATATATCCAAGTATGTTTGTTTATTCATTAGGATATTTTTTAAAAATAAGTAGAAATGAGATATTTAGAGATGCTTGTATTATGTCTTTTATCCTTTATTTTGTTTGCTCATTTTTATTGTTAAAAAATTCGTTTACATAGTCCATGCGTTTAGTTGTAATAACTTTGATTTGATTTGTACACGCCTGACAATTTCATGGGACGGTATTATTTTTAATTTGTGGTGAGACTTTCTGATATAGCTCCCTAGACTGGACGACTGCGATTAATTTAATGGGGGTGATGATTGATTGGAGGTAAAATGGAAACCTACATCGTGTCAGAGACTTGATGTGGCACGAAAAGCATTTCCAAAAAGCTGCTAAAGAGTTTTATCCACAACTACCTTCGATGGCTCCATACTGAAGATTAGGTGGCTAGAAAGTTTTAGTAAAAAGGAACTCTGCAGTGCAACGAACCAACGAAAACACCTGTAGCCTTACGAATCTGCCGAAGTAAATAGAGATGGATCGGAAACACACCGTTGAGTAATGTTACTTCGCAGGCCCTCAAGTGGAACCTGAATGGGAAACGATGAGTTGGACGTGAGTCCGAGGGTGACATGGAGGAAATGAGAGACTATAGGCAGTCGTGGAGCCAACTTGTATAGACTGAAGGCAATGGAGTGAAAGGGAGATACTCTCTTAAACGCTATATTCTACTCGGAAACCAAGGGAATAATAATAAATACCATCGCATGATTCAAAGAAAAACCCTCAGAATTACTAGTCTAATATTCTGCCAGTTGATCTATGGGGCGGAAGAGCGTTGAGTTCGTAATCCGTAGGTCATTGGTTCGAGTCCTGCTGCGACCCAGATTTTAATCTGACTTTTTGTCATCACCGACTATATATTTTTAAGTGAAAAAGGTAGGTAGCATAAAATAACAAGTAATTATATATACATCGGCTGATGAAGCCATGTTTTGGTTTGACCATCACTAGCTCTCTCTTTTTCAACCTGATCCTATCTCAGTGAAGTAACATTACCTGTCAGTCGAGGAAAGCGATGGCTAGGCATATGTAACACATGTCCTAACCATTTCAATCGATGCAGCTGCTTCACAGCCTCGTTGATTGATTTCCCCTCCCACCTACCTAACACTCGACCGATGCCTTACCTCAATATTGCTCATTCTATTATACCACTTCACATGGGAGACAGAACTCAGAAACCTATGATCAAAGACAGCTAGCCGGCCTTTTCATGTCTTCCACTTTCAATGGCCATGTCTCATAGCCATAAAGGAGGACGGAGCAGACTGCCGAGTAGTACACACGCCCTTTGATCGACAGCAGGCCGAATATCACGTGTACGCCGCAGATGGCGTAGGTTGACAGGCGAATACCAAATGAGCCTTCTGTATCTGAGCTCAGATTTCTTCGGAGACTAACCCGCTGGAACTGGCTGATGTAACTCCCCAAATAAATTAATTGAAGTGGTCAACGCGCTCCACCAACTACTTCACTCCCTATCTTGACGCTAGAAATAGTTGGTGTAGTCCAGTCCTGCAGGCACATCATCTTACATTTGGCGGGAGCGAATCACATGACAAGCATTCGAAGATTGCTGCTCCTCAAGGTGTTCAAAGGACTCTACTCGAACTCATGCAGCCAGGTGAGAGCTTACGGCGAGCTGTCACCTGAGATGGTGACAACCAGTGGTGTCCGTCGGGGGTTCACGCTATCCCCATTTCTATTCAACTTCATCATAGATGTACTAATCTATTTAACACTAACTGACTTCGGTAACTCGGTCATTGACTTGTTGACTTAGAATATGGATGCGGATGACACAGTCATCCCTGCTAGATGAAGAGGCTGACAAAATAGAGGAAAGTGCCATTATCAGTGCGATGTATTTTCTTGGTATTCCCTTCAAAGACAGAATCGAATGCCGCCTTCAGGTCAAGAAATATGACGATTGTTGGACTCTGGTAAATATGCCCATGTTCCAGAATCTGTCGAAGAGTGAAGATATGGTCTACACACCCTCTTCCTGGTTTAAAGCCTGTCTGGTTGTCTCCGTCTTTGCCGGGATTACTACCTACCAAGTCATATTTAGCAGTGTGTCGGCCAGGATTCGAACCCTGGACCACAAACGTGGTTGGCAAGCATTCTACGTTATGAATCACCGATGCTCAGAAGGAATTATAGAAACACTTTATTCAGATTTCGGGTTTCGTAGGGATTTGGATTAATTTCAGCAGAGTTTCTGTCACGGACGGACATCTGTTAGTGAATCACTGTAGGCCCAAGAGTACTGGATACGTGTTTCATTCTTTCTTGGAACTCTTCTCTAATTAACGTAAGTTAAAGTTCACAAGTCAATGAATTGACACTCCGTGACTGAATAGTTAGTGCCCTGGCCTGGTAAACTGAACATCATGGGTTTCAATCCCAAGTGAGTGTGTCATGGGTGCGGACTGCTGAAGGGCCTTAAACCACGAGGGAGCAGCTAGTTAGTGCTCCTAGGCTTTCAGTGATTGTTCACCTGATGTCGATTCGTGACGAAATCTACACTGGGCCATTTTAAATGTTATTAACCAGCAGTGCGGTTAATTGACGAGAATATGGAACCCATCACTTTTTGTTTTTGTTCTTAAAACTTGTATGAAATACACATTCATATATTTATGTGAAACTTTTCATTGAGAGAATCTTGTCTATAAGCGTTTCTCATACACCATCTAATAAAAGTTGTATCCGTAGCTTTATGATTACTTTTGCTTTTTTGTATAGGAGTCGAGTCAGCAGTTTAGGATTCACAGGATTTTTCCTTTGGAAAAACATACAATACCCTGTTTTCTTTATTTGACTTCCACGGCACATTATGAACTTGTAGTACACTTCAAGAGAAAGCACTAGCACTTTTAGCTTATATATTCGTAGGAGTCTGACTGATTGTCAATTTGATCACTAACTGACTTCAGATGGAGAACCACTGAAAACTAACAAGGTGGTCCTAGACGGTTGTTTCGTCTTAGTTTGCGACTCTTCATCACTGCGCACCCACAGCATCACCAGGGATCGAACACCAGTACCTTTAGGTAACAAAGCGGCCTCGTTGGCCATTCAGTCACTGAGATGAAATCCAGTGGTCCATGAATTCCAACCTCTACCAATTCATGATATGTGTAGCTGATGAATTTTTGTTGAGGTGCTGCGATTCAACACGGACTTTTGTCCAGAAAGATTTTGCCTTAGTCACCGTCTATATATCGTGACTTGTCGAACTAGTTTGTTTACCAATGTTTAATCATTAATCATAGTTCGTAGGTAAATAGATATTTAGATGTCCTGGTTAAATGAACATCAATGAGATGCTCACTGGCGACGGGCCCTATTCAGGTAGGTAGTTACCTGGGGTTCCAGTGGGAAGTCGTGACCAGTAGGGTGCAGCAGGTCGGGTGTGAGGACAAATACTCGCCGAAGACATTGGCTAGCGGTTGCGCTATATCGTGAATTGGCAGAAGTTAGAATTCATGGGCCATTGGATCGGGTCCCAGTGGCTAAATGGTATACGAGCTCGCCTTGTAACCAGAAGATCCTGGGTTCGAACCCTGGTGGGCGCGTACTGCTAAAGAGTCACAAACTAGGACGAAACAGCTGTCCAGTACTCCCAGGTTTTCCACTGGTTCTCTAACCAATGTCAGCTCATGATGAAATCCTGTAACCAATCAACCAAATCCCTACAAACCAATACTTGAACTTAAATGAAATGTGTTACCTGTATTTAAGTGGTAATTATTGAAATCGCCTATTAACCTAATGGATCACAGATAAAGTGCTGGCTATTTTGACCTGCCAATGATCGACTGAATCTCCCTTGTAGTTGTGTAGTAGACAGTGTTGAAGAGTTTGGAACTATGAAGAATACTAGATAAGTTCACCTTCGTTTTTGAATAGATACTAGGCTACGTTGAAGTCCACCTTTCGTGATGCTAAATATTCCAATACATACCATGCTATCTATGAATTTCCGTAGACTTTTATTAATGACATTCGTACTGTAGGTGTATTCTTTCATGAAAAACGTCCAGTTTAATATTGACTACTTTATCTACATCATTATATATATCTATTTTTTAATTTTCTAATTTAGATGCATTCTCAATTACTCGCCAAAGTACGTGACAGCTTAGATCCAATTGTAACACAATTAGATGATGAATTTGATTATCACCGAAGAAATAGAACTAGTGATCAGCTAACGGAGAAAATGGCTGCTATAGACGCTGGAGGATGGCTTAGTTGGCTTACAGAAGCCATAGACTGGCTTATTGCTTCAGGTTTAGGCAACAGCTTGATTGATATGCTTATAGCAAGTTTTCAAAGTACACCACATATGAATCGAGGTGGATTCAGGTTAGTGTGATTCTGCAAAAACCAAAATTGAATTGTATTTATTTTTCAAGTTGTATGTATAATCATTAATAAGTTGAAAATCGACAACTAAGACTGTCACAATGATCATTATTTTCTTCTTATTGGATAGAATAATAAGCGAAAATTAGGTATTTTACAATCTCCAGCTAGAAGAAGTACCACCGATTTCGAGCTGATAAATAGTCCGGCACAGTAACCTGGAAAATTTTCAGGAATCTCTTAAGCTAGTATCTTCGGTGGATCCTGTTTCCTTGTATCTGCTTTCCTTAATAATGAGTAAGATAACCGTTTTGCTTGCACACTGTATAATCTGAAAGAGCCTATTATTATTCTGGATAAAGCAGACATGAAATATTATCAGTGATAAAAGTGTTAAATTATACGGATCATTTCTCTTTTCTATTTAAATGCCCTAGAAGCGGTTTTTGCTCTTGTTGGTACTCGTCAGTAACACGTATCTGCAACTATAAAGAAAACCATGATTCAATTCATGGATAATCCCCATCCAGGCATTAATGAAAACAAAACACGTAGTTCAGCAAAGAGTCTCTTTTCGGCGAATTCACTTTCACAGCTGTACTATCTCATATACATATGACAGTTATTTTGTATGTATGTGTACATTAAGTTTGTCAAACAAACTACAAACCACAATTAGTCATGGTTATTTTAACTGAACAGGTGAAAATTATTAAGTTTTGGGTAGAGTTGGGTAGAACAAAAACAGTCAAGAAAATTAGTTGTTAATGAAACTAGTGTAGTGACAAAGGTGATGCGTTGTTAGAAAGCAGTTACGTAATAATATGAATAGTTTGATGATTGAGTTGTACTCAGGATACACATAGGAACGAAGTAGAGAATGCGAAATTATGTAGTAGTTCTAAATGAATACAAGAATTATAAGCAATTAAAGAAACAGGCAGACAAACAAAATCAAGTCATCAAGAATCAACAAAGTTGTTATCGTGATTATAGAACCTTAAGAAGATCCATCCATAGAAGAGCTACTTGCAATGATCAACTAACAAGCCTCTATAGCTGGCTACCCATCTAACAAAAGCGGAGTTGAATTAAATCCCTTGCCACCTGCATCCAACGCATCGGTATTCCCGGTGTTCTAGAAACAGAATCACATCTTTTGATAAAAATCTTCATCCAAAATGGATACCCATCAAGATTCATTGACAAAAATATCAAACGGAGAATTTGGAGGGATGAAACTTCAGTTGAGCCGAAAAACAAACTGTACATGAACTTGGATTTCAAGGAAGATTTAGCAAGCGATATTCTCAAGAGAAGGATCACATCATCTTTGAGAAGAACGTTCTTTCCAGCAACGCTAAGAATAGTGTTCTCCAGTCGCCCACTGATCGATTTGCAGAAGCCTTAAGGACAAGATCCCGCATTGGACCACTTACTTCTATGTGCATATATCAGTTCATCTGCTGCTGTGGAGCCGGCAGGTACATTGGTCATTCGACGCGCATCCTGCCCAAGAGGATTCAACAACAGTATCCAGCATGGTTGCGAAAGGCGATAGTGGTGCTATAAGGAGTGCGGTAATTTAACACCTGGTTAACACTGATCATCCTATCTCAACAACAAACGCATCCTCCTTCAAAGTAATCTACACTGTCAAGAATAACCTACCAAAGGTAATACAGTTTCGTTTTCTTTGTATCGCTGAAGCTCTGACCATTCACATGGAGAAACCGGACCTGCTCATACAAAAGAAAATTCATTAGTCAACCACTTCTATTATCATGGTAACAACTTTGTTGATTTTTGATGATTTGATTTTGTTTGTCTGCCTGTTTCCTTAACTGCCTATAATTCTTGTATACATTTAGAACTACTACGTAATTTCCTGTTCTCTACTTCGTTCCTATGTGTATCCTGAGTACAACTCAATCATCAAACTATTCATATAATTGCGTAACTCCGTTTTAACAACTGTTTGTGACAACTCATCACCTTTGTCACCACACTAGTTTCATTAACACCCAATTTCCTTGACTGTTTTTGTTCTACCCAACTCTACCCAAAACTTATTAATTTTCACCTGTTTAGTTAACATAACCATGACTAATTGTGGTTTGTAGTTTGTTAGACAAACTTAATGTACACATACATACAAAATAACTGTCATATGTATATGCGATTGTACAGCTGTGAAAATGAATTCGCCGAAAAGAGACTCTTTGCTGAACTACGTGTTTTGTTTTCATTAAACTCATGTTTCCCAGAGATTCAAACCCGCGTCACCTAGTGACGTTTTTAGAAACACTGTCATTCAGCTATTCAGGCACCGGACGATCTAGCTTCAAATATCAGGAGGGACATGAGTTGAGTATTAATCTTAGTGAAGAGTGTCAAGACTCTCTTATACGTTAAGATGAGTCATTTTAAAAGCCTGTCATTTAGTCCTATATGGTTTACATTATGTCAAATTGATTTATTTGTGTTTTGCAGAGTTTCCCTGTATTTCATTTTAATCAAATCTAAGCGTTTATAATTGCATTAATTCATTCCTACTACAACAACAACTCCAGTTTATCTGTGATAATGTATGCTTTGGTGAAGTGAATACTATTCACTTAATAATAACGTTAACAGATTATCACTCACCACTTACTTATAGTTCATGCATTTTTTGTTGAAATTGACACTTATTTAAAAATTCCCATTTACGTATTGAGAAAAAATCAACAACAGGTTGAGCGAAGAAATAAATTTCTTTACAATTATAGTTCCTCATCATCCACTGGCTCTACACTAATACATATTTGTTTTTTACATCAAAATGTTTTACCAATCAAGTGGTTATTTCAATTAGTCAGTTTCAGGCATAGGCGGAGGTGAAATCAAGAGGCCAAAGGTCATCAAAACAAATAACTAATAGATGTTAGTAACAAGATATCTAAGTTTTTTTTTTTAAAAAAAGGGTGGAAATTAATTACGGAATTCAAGATAAGTTGATTCTTAGACGTTGGCGACAAGTTATTACATAATCAGGAAATTTATAAAATAGCAATGATGACTAAGAAGAATAGGATGACTCACTCAGAAGAGTTACGTAAGATACAAACAAACAAGTTAATAGAATTAGCTAGAATTGTAAAAATTGTAAAATTTAACAAAATTATTTGTTTTCACAACATTCATGTGTTTGTTGCATGTATTTAACCTTATGAAGAGATTGTATAAATAAGAAAAATTTGTAGAGAGTATTGAAGCTGATGTGATTGTCTACCGAAATTTATGAACTCGTTAAATCCTGCTTCTTTTTCCACATTTGTTGCTTATTTTAAACATACATAATTATCGGCAGTACGCACCCACTGGATTTCGAAAACAGGACCTTCTGGTTACAAGGCAAATTCGTAGGTCATTCAGTCACTGGGACCCGATTTAACGGCCCATGAAATCTAAATTCTACCAATTCTTGATTTTAGCTCGACTACCAACCAACTGCATTGGTGGGAACTCCATTCTCACTCCCGACTGGACGGATCCCACTGGTCAAAACTTCTCACTAGAACTTCAGGCAACTTCGTCATGTAGAAAGTCACTAGCGAACATCAGATTAATTTTTTCAAGAGTAAATTTATAAAGATTTGATTTGTTTTTCGAGTTAGACTACGGATTGATATCAGTTAGGGAGGGAAGCATTGAAAACCAGAGAGTACTGCTGATGAGTCACAAACCAGGATGAAACAGCTGTCCAGTACTCCTTGACAGTTTTCAATCCTTACAAATCGACTCTTAACAAAAACAATCATAAATAGCACCGAAGATATTGTGAGGAATGTTCATGATTATTGTTCACATTGGAGTTTATTCAGATTGATAGTAATGATAATATGAAAATCAGGCTGTAAAAATTTGGTAGAAGGTTATGTATGTGTGTGTGTGTGTATGTGTATCAGTGTGTAAGTGAATTACTAAGGCTAAATTAAGAAAAGAATATTCTTTTGTTCATTAATTCCAATCTCTTGAAATTTATAATGGGCATTTTAAATCAAGTAAATTATTGTGTATATTGAATTTTAATCTTCAAGGTGTTAATAATACCGATTCACTAGTCATTTAATATGTTGTTGTTGTTTTTCTTCTTCTAGAACAACGCTTCTTCATGCTGGTTCTCCGATTAGTTTCAAAGCTATGCTGTTAACTGAACTAGGTGAAGTTTTCACAACACGTGAACAAATGAGAATAGCTATGAAACCAATGGATGATACATGGACGTCTTTTATTGTAAGTCATATGATTTTATCGATTTAAAGTTTTCCACCAATGGTTACCGGAATCTTGTAGTGATTTATGCTGAGCCACAGTGTATGAGGTCCTTGACAGTTGCTTTAAGGGCATATAGGAGGGTATAGTTTGAACATGGTTTTGGAGTCGTCGGGATGCTAAGAACCTAATGGTTGGAGACTTTCAGGGAATATAGCCTGTTTTTTCTATGTTACTATTCCTTCTCCCACATATTTCAGCTCATTAGAGTTATTGTGGATCTCTTGTTTTCTTTCTTCTCGCTACCTTTGTGTTCTGTGTGTGTATGGGGGGTGGCAGCTTGAATTGCTACACTTCTGAACAAAGTTCTACGCGGAAACTCGGTCAGTCGAATTGTGCTGAGAAAAAATTGAATAGTAAATCAAGTATTTAAACTAGCGTGGAAATGATGAGTGCTATAAAGTGAAGTAATAGTCGATTATGTTCAGTGTTTTGCCACAAATGGCCGACTGCATTTATCTTGAGTTAAAAGTGTTTATTAGTGGATTTATTATTATTATTATTTCACTTGAGTTCCGAGGGGAAAGGAATGCTTCACTAGCAGCACACCTCCATTTCACCCTGTCATCATTGGTCTTTTTTAACAGACTTCACAATTAACTATAAGCTTTTATTTTCTCACATGATATCTCTTCCAAGTCACCCTCAAACAAGTGCCAAGTATGTCGTTTCCCACTTGAGTTTCACTCGAGGTCCTGGTGCTTAATGCCACTCGATGGTCTCCTCAACAAGTTTCCAATTTGGTTCCGTTTCCTTCTGAGTATTTGCTGGACTGTAGGTTCTTGACAGGTTCGCTCCCACTACCATAGTTCCTTGTTGCTTATCGTTTCTGTCTATTTTTTTAATCTTCAATATCGAGCGATGAGAGCAGTTGTTAGTGGGAGTTTGGAGCCTGTTGGAAATCCTTTTGGTGACGTGTCAAGTCTTTGAACCATATAGAAGCACTGATTTAGCCTTGGAATTGAAAATCTGAATCTTGTTCCCTATTCTGAGTCCGAGTGGATTAGCCTTCCAGGATAATTTCAGATTAATCAAGATCTGTCTTGGTTTTCCAATCCTAACTGACTGAAATCATCATCTGTGCCACTTGTGGTTGAAACAATACTACCCCAAGACAGTTAAGTGAACGGGGTAACTTCCTCTACAGTGTTTATTAACAACGATGCTTATTGTAACGACATAGCCCATTTACAATGTACACATAAGGACATTTAATTATGGACTGAAAAAATTTCTATGGGTATTTTGTTTGGACCACTTTAGAGTCACCTGTGTAGGTAGTAGATTAGATCACATAAAATTGCTTTTTCGTAGTGTTTATGCTTTGTTTCTACTCGTATCCTAGTAGCTCTAGTTTAAACTGAGAGACGTTTAGAGGTGAGTTGTATCATCACCCGATGCTTAGTGTGTAAACATTGAATCATCTACCTACGCCAACTTTAGCGTCATTTAAAATTCTACACAACAATTTAAGGTTGAGAATATATTGTAGTGTTTTATGTTGTTGTTTTTTTGGCGTTACCGAAATATTTTCAATATGAAGCTTCACAATTGATTAGGACATAATTCCGTGGCTACCGTTGCTTGTATATATCTTCATTTTTTGTATTCCCCCTCCCCCGCTTGTTTAAATAGCCATAATCTTGAAGATGAAAAAGGTAATCATTCAAGAGAGCAATTATCTTTTGTCGGCACATGTCGTCCGAGTTCGATTCGCAACCGGCTCACTCAGAAACACTATGGTTGCAGAGGTTATTTCTGTTAGGTAGGAGAGGATGTCTGCGAGCCATTTGGCAGTAGCATGATATGCTGAATTTGTCATATCCAAGATTGGACGTAGTGGCACGTTCTCTTTGTGCATTTTTGGCAGACCATATAAACGGGGAATCATGGAACCTGAGAGTCGTTCGTATTTGCTGAAATAATTCAGAGCCGATAATCGATTCGTTCTTCATCCTCTTCAGCATTTGTGTTATCTCTCTCCTTCAATCTGTTCCGTTTGGTGTTTATGGCTACTTTCTTTTGAAAATTTGTTTTCACCTGACATGACGGATAACATCTTATCGATGTTGTCTTGGCGATCCATCAAGACAATGCCAACATTACATCGATAGAATGTTATCCGTCATGTCAGATGAAAACAAATTTTCAAAAGAAAGTAGCCATAAACACCAAACGGAACAGATTGAAGGAGAGAGATAACACAAATGCTGAAGAGGATGAAGAACGAATCGATTATCGGCTCTGAATTATTTCAGCAAATACGAACGACTCTCAGGTTCCATGATTCCCCGTTTATATGGTCTGCCGAAAGTGTACAAAGAGAATGTACCAGTCACTGCGACCAATCTTGGACATGACAAATTCGCCATATCATGCTACTGCCAAATATAGCTCGCAGACATCCTCTTCTTACCTATCACTCAGAAACCTTACTTAACCGGTAGTAAGTCCAGTCAGTGAAGAAGGAAAGTTGAACGTGAAGCTAGCAATCTCAACTTGTAAAAACGACTAATGCCACAACTACTGAAGCCTCAAAGTTTTCTTGAGCTTTAAAGACTCAATATTCCGCTGGATGGATTGGAATGAAAAAGAAAAAGAAAAATATATTGTGTTTGACTAATTTACTATGCAAACATCAGTTATGCTTATCTATCTGTATTTTTGAAGTTGAATTTTTCAAAGTTTTTTTTTCTACACTTCCTCCTCCTGCTTTATTTTTCCATCATCTTTTCAGAATGGTCAAGAAGTTGATCAAAGTATTCTCCAACCATTTTATCAATGTTGTGCTAGAATTTTCGATACAGATGATGAAAACAAACGCAAAGAAGAGAAAAAGAAGACTAAGGTTAAATCAGAGGAGAAAACAAAAAAATCTCAGCCAAATGGTACTACTACTACTACTACTCCTACTCCTACTGCTACTGGTAGTCGTCGTTCACCAAAGAAAACACATTGTGCTTATTGTATTGCTTTAAGAGCACTACGGGATTATCAACGTGCACTAAACCATGAACGTGCAAAATCTACTTCAAGTCGTCCATATATCCATGAATTTGATGTTGATGATAATTCAGAGGCATTAAAAAAATCATCTACTGCTATGGCGGCTATAGAAGCAGCAGGAACTGGTCTTATTTTAAATAATCCATTAGTTATGTCATTGTCTATTGTCTGTCAACAAACCTCCAAACTTTTATCGAATACTCCGCAAAGTGAATTACCATTTTCAAAAATTTATTATCAAGCAAAAGCTAAACGTTTAGAACAATTAATACGTTTAATGGGAAAAGAGATATTAGTAAGTTGTCAGTCTGCTGTATGAACACCTCTATCTTTGAAACTATAGGGTGTATATTTTCATAGTATTAATTGTAGGTATTGTTTGGCTTTTTGTAAGAGGGATGGGGGTTGTGTGGTCATCTATAAAGTCATTAGATCTCGTCTTAACCCCTATCAACATACCAATTCATAAAAATGAAGGAGAAAGATGTGTTTGGAGTAGGGTGAGTTGTCAGCAATAGGTGACGAATATTCAGTCATCTCAAACTACATCAGGTGTTTTATTGTTCTAATCATCTCAAAAGATGTAATAATTCCCTTAAAGCTAAATTAGTTCCAATAACTCAGTTATTCATCATTCTTGCATCTATATTTCTGTTACATTCGTTGAAGGAATAAGAACCGTAAAATTGGGAAATCAATGAAGGTTTTACGATTGGTAAGGGCATCAATTGTCGCTTCAGTGTATTCCATTTAGGAAAAACGGTTCCCAAACTATTTAACTTCAAGATAGAATCTTATATAATACTGAACATTTATGATCATCTTAGTTTTCCCTCAAAATGCTTTTATGGAAGAAAGCATTTTTCTTTCTGACAGCTTAAAAATCAGTCTGTCATGATGAAATGTTTTGCTAGTCCATGTATAGAATACATACATATGATAGTCGTCCTTTGGTATACTGTTTTCTGTGAACACCTGCATCCAGTAGCCATCAATGAGCTGAAGATGGATGTGAAGGTCTTAGCTTCGATCCCTAGTGGAGTCGTGGGAGTACACTGCTGGAATGGAGTCCCAATCTAGGCCGTAACAGCTGTCCAGTGCTCCATGCTGGTTTTCAATGATCTTCAACTGATTTTGAGTTTATAACGAAATCTGCATAGAAATTAAATAAAATTCTTACAAAAACCCATTCGCTAAAGAGATAGTCAATATATTTTATGGCAACTACAATAACCTGAAGAAGAGAATTTACTTCATATCTTGGTAGATTATGGGAACCAGGAGATTGCACCATACGAAATCTCATAGTTTGTACAAGCGCTAGGATACTCCTCGAACTCTCAGACCGAAGCAAATAGCTGTCCTCTAGAGGACAACCTCACTCCTCTCTAGCCTAGCCTTTGACTTGAATTCTGTTCCACAAAGCAGTGGAGCAGCGTCAGTACCTACATTCCAATGATTGACGGTAACCAAAACAAGTTCATACACCATTTGATTCCTTCGGATTTTGGATGCCATCTATCATCTCGGGTGTAGAATGAAGTTTTTTAAGTGCCCCTTGGATAGACTAGCCGATTATCCACCCGTTCAGTTGTAACCTCCAGACAACTTATGAGGTTGGAAGGTTAATGTGTATGCTAGGTGGTCGTATGTCAAAATATGAGTGTTTCGTACTGCCATTTATTTTATTCTATCCAAATGTCAAAAGGAAATAATTGAAGTCCTAGGAATGATTTGTTTATGCTTACTTTATTTTATATATATATATATATATATATCCTTTGTTGTGATTCCTTTTAGTTAACAAGTCGTACACAATCTTTGACCAAAGAATGGTGGAATATACACGATGATACTGAACAGTTTGTTGTTCGCCTGCAAGCCACATGTCCAACAGGCTTAGCATTTATTCATCAAGATGAGGTAATTTACTTTCTGTTTTGTCTTTTTCTTTTCTTTTTTTAAAAATACTAGATAGTTAACGAATATATCGGCTGTAATGCGCTGAATCCATCCTATTGTCTGTCTGTCTTCTTCTTCTTCTTCTTACAGGTTGATCATCAACTATATCGTTCTTTAGTTGAAGCTGATATGATATGGCCCCGACTACAGTCTCGTCTTGGCCGTTATAATTTTCTGCGCAACGCTTATTTGTCAGCAGTGACTGGCTTACCGACAGATGAAAATAATCCAAATAATAGTGAACGGCCAAGAACTCATCCAATTGAATGTCCTACCTGTTTTCAATCACATTCACCATCAACACCAACGTTTGTTTTACTACCTGGTTGTTGGCATAGTTTATGCTTTAATTGTCATCAGCGTATAGCTACAATGCCAGAAACCACTCAACGACGTTGTCCTATCTGTCGGACACCATTTGAATCAAGAGAGATCACAGGTATGAATGCTCGACGTCGACAACCTTTAACACTTATTCACTATGCTGGTAATGAAACAAAGCAAGAAAATCAAGTGAAATCTGAAGATAACGAAGAAGACTTGAATATAGTGGTAAGTTAGAGGTAATTTCATCTTCTGTAAGTCAGAAGGCTTCAATCCACAAGTTTCCATGTCTTTACAGTTATTGGTCACCGCGATTGATGATTCATAACCACTGATGAAATCCAGTCACAGCATCAATACTAAGACGTAAACATTTGACTTCGGTTACTCATTCTAGTGACTGATGAATGTATGCTTAATGGTTCTCTATTTGTTGTGAGCTGACAGTCTAGCTAGCCAGTAAGTTGACTAATATACCACTGTGGTGCCCTGAAATTTCGATATTGGCTAATAAAGAACAAAGAACGGTCGTTAGCGAACTATCAGCTCAGGTTTTATGCTTGTTGTGGAGAGTTATTATGTGTATCTCATGTTGTTGGTGAGTGTGGTAAGTTTATAAACGCCACATCATTAATCTTCCTAACCCTCATGAAATTAGAAGAAGTGGTATGCCTGGGGGAAAAGATGTATTCTATCTTATTTATGATAGTATCAGATATTTCCAGCTAACTGCTAGGTAGTCTGTAGCTTACACACACATAATCATGTGACTCTTCTGCAAAATTTCGTGCACGCTGATTGACTTGATTGGTCCTCAAGCTTCTTGAGCAATTTAAATCTTATTATTCTTACACGCTATAACAGTTATCACCATTTGTTTAAGCTAATTTCACACCTCCTCTTGATTGATTATATTGAACCAAAACGTTCGGTGTCTGTTGACATGTCAGTTCCTAGTATGGAGACTTCGACTGTGTCTAAAGATTAACCATCACTCACTGAGGATTTCAGGTACCCTAACCCAGTTGAAGAGTTCCAAGTTAGACGAAATGCGCACGCTGGATTACACTGTGCTAGCCACCATCCTCGAAATAACATCAAGTTATCATTAGGATTAGCGTTAAAGTGTGCAACTGTGATTTAATGTTTAATGCTTAATTAACGTTAGAAAAGCGTAAGTCGATTTTTACATCCACACATGGTGAATAAACGATTATATATCCAAAAATCTGCCTAGGTTTAACAACTTTATTGATTAGTTGTCAGCACACTGATCATAAAGAATCCCTGAAAACAGGTGAACAGGTTGATGTATTTTAATGCGAACGATATCTTGAAACCGTTTATATTTCTCTGTTTTGCTACTTCCCATCATTTTGAAGAGTTCTAATCCAGATTTCTTCACGAATCAACATCAGTTTGAAAATCATTGAAATTTAAAGAACATTAAGCAGCTGTTTCGTCTTATTTGTGGATTCTTCATCAGCTCGCGACCGCGATCCCACCAGGGATCTACCCTAAGACCAACAGATGACGAGCTCGAGCTCGTTGACCACTCGAACACTTTGGTTGGAATTCAGCGTACTGATGAAGAGTCTCAAACTAGGACGAAACAGCTGTTCAGTACTCCCAGGTTTTCCAATGGCTCTATAACTAATGTCAGCTCATGATGAAATCCTGTAACTTTGGTTGGATTTAAGTGATCAGTGAATCCTAACTTTGTCAATTCGTGATATAACGCTACCAACAACCAGTGTCATTTGAATTAATTTATATTCCTACAAAACCCATAAAATAATAAGTTTATTATCAAATGTTGTCTTGCAGGGATTTGACTGGTTACAGATTCGATCATGAGTTGACGTCAGTTAGAGAACCATTGAAAAACAAGGAACTACTGGGGTTACGGGTGAGTGTGCGTTACTGACAACGAGCGACAAACTAGGACAAAACAACTGTCCAGTACTCTTGATAATTATGCTGATCCACACTGGTAACTGGCTCTATACGGGAATTTACCTGGAGTTCTAGTGGGAAGTTGTAACCAGCGAGATTCACCAAGTAAGGTTACAGAACAGTCACTGGCCTATAACATTGAGATTAACGTACCATTGGATCGAGTTCCAGTGACTAAATGGTATAAGAGAGTTTGCCCTTTAACTGGAGGTTCCTGGGTGTAAACCTTGGTGGTTGTGTACTACTGAAGAGTCTCAGGCTAGGATGAAGCTGACGTTGAGTACTTCCCGAGTTTCCAATGTTTCTCTAACAGCTGTCAGCTTATGATCAAACGTGTAACTGATAGGCTTCTCATGTCCTGTGTTATTTAAATTGAAAGACTAAACATAATCTTCTGGGAATAAGCTGAGAACAAGTATTATTTAAGACTTATCTATCTGTGGTTTTATATTCTCTTAAGCGAACCTTAGATTTGCGATTATAATTCAAAGCATCATTTCTTCTGATATCAGTGGGTATTTTGGACTGCAAATAAGAATTCACATTTACGACAGATTCTAGTGTCCTTTAATTGAAGAAGCTGAACACCTGTTCAATTAAGCCTCTTGAAACTGGATGCTGAAGTTGGAAATTGAATTGCTTGAAGTTTGATCAAGATTTGATGTCAACTAGCGAGCTGTTGAAAACCAGATAGTACTAGTCAGGTGTGTTTCGCCCTAGTTTTAGACTCTTCAGAAGTACACACCTGCTGGGGTTCAAACCCAGAACGTTGCAGTTACAAGTTCAGCAACTGGGTACCTTTTCGAATGGCCTTCGAATTCCAACTTCTGTCAATTCATCATTTTAGTGAGACCACCAGCCGAATATGATGCACTCCACTGTTCACAACTGCCCACTAGAACTCCAGGAAACTTCTTCCTGTATGCAGTCACTCAGTGGTCATTATTAATGTGACTAAGTCTGTCTGTTTTCGACATAGAACTTTGCACCGATGTGCAGCACTTCAAGTCGCCACACCCCCTCCTTGTAGCACACAAAGCAAGAGAAGAAAGTAAAAGGCAATACAAAATAGAGACAGTAGACATGGTTATGAGACAAAGGAATAGTAATAACGAAGAACAATATAGTTTAATTGGAAATTATAAGTCACAAGGAGTGGATGCACTTGCACCGACCATTCAGAACAATTTTGAACCATATCACCGATTGTCTCCAGTCACTGGTTTTTACCGTCCCGAGGACCCCAACCAGGAGGTCTACACCTTCATACATGGCTGGCTTAAAATAACTGTTGTGGATTACATTGACTGGTGCCATGTTTTCGTTTGACCGCCGCTAGCTCTTTTCCAGCCTGACCCTATGTCAGCTAACATTACCCGTCGAAGAAGGCGATATGTGACTAAGTAACTATTATAAAGTCTGCTACTCTGATATCTCAAGCTATTCATAGACAGCTTCTCATATTTTATTTTTCTTTAAGTTTGACGTGAGTGCTTTGTTTTAGCATGACAATGAAAACTTTATCACTAAACTGTCTAGTCCCAAGAACTGAAGGTGATGGTGGAAACCAAATGCGAAACGATAAATAAAGACATACAAGAGTGACATGGAGGAGATCACTATCAGTTGAAAGAAGTGAAAGCCTATGGACAATTATGGGGTAAGTTACAAAAAGAAAAAACGGCACAGAACAGAGTGAAATAGCGAGGTGGCTTGCTGGTGAAACCTTATGTTCCACTAGGAATCGAGGGGAAATGATAATTATGGTAATATTATATAACATGAATACTCATAAACCAATAATGGCATTCACTTTTGCTTTGTTTTGGTTAGATCATTTGTTTTACTTCTTCCCTCTCTCAGAGTGTGTTTAAATGTTACTTGTTTGTAAAACTGTGCAAAATACTTTCTTCAATTTATCATCAGGGTGATCATAGCACAAAAGTGAGAGCTGTTATACGATGCTTAAAAGTGATTAAACGTGATGATCCAGATGCTAAAGCTATTGTTTTCAGTTCTGTAAGTCAAGTCTGTTTATTTGTTTGTTTGTTTTTTTCAAAAAAGTCATTTTTTTAGTCATTATGTCTACTAGGGTCCCTACGTACTTCTGTAGTGCTTTTATTGGTGGTTAAAGTAGTTTAATTCTCGGATGATATTGTTATCCTTGGTAAAAACGCTGACAAGATGCAGAATCTTCTGAACACCATGATATGCAATTGATTCACCCTTGTCAAATTTAAGGTGATGCTGTAGGACTAGTCCGAACTGGCTTCCGGTTAAAGGATATGAATTCAAGTGGCTGAGCGTGTTGACTACTTTGCTTATTTGAGAAGTTGCATCAACTCCGATCAACTGATTAGGGATGAAATCTCGCTAAGGCTTCTGTCACATTTGACAACTTACATAATCTCTGATATAGACGTGAAATCCGGCTATGGATGAAAGGAGATGTGTACTGTACAGAAATTTGTTCTGTTCTTCTTTATGGCTGCGAGGCATGACCATTGAAAGTTGAAGATCTGAAGAGACTAGCCATCTTCGCCCACGGATGTTTACGTTCTATTCCCCATGTTAAGTGGTACAATATAGTGAGTAATTTAGGCTAGGCATATAGAATGGTTTCGAGGCTACATTGGTTGAGACAGCTGGGATACATGATACGCATACCAAGTCTCTTCTTGTAACAACAGAAGGCAAGATACACGGAAGCGTATTATTTTGGTTTACATTAAATGACGTGAAATAGAATGTTCAGATATGCATAGTATTCTGTTGTTAACGCAGTATTGAACTGTGGGAATATGTGTGAATCATATTCCGTAGGAACACATTGTCTGTATCATACCACCACACTCTTTCCTTGATAAGTAATGTTGGTTGATATAAGGTTAAGTTGTGAAAGAGTTAGGAACGGTCAAATTAAAACATGTCATCAATTCATGAAGTCTTTGGTTGATGATTTAAATCACCTAGGGGGAGGTATAGACTATCTGGCTGGTTCCATTGTGGCACCAAAATCCAATGATGGAAAACCGTTCTCAATGGCGCAGATACATGGCCTGTTTGAAAACTTCTAGACCTAATAAATCGTTATGTTTTTCCATATTAACTATTTTTCACCCCATACATTTCCGGTCATCGTAGTTGTGTGTGTGTGTGTGTTTTGAATTCCTTGTTTTCTTTTCTCTGTTTTTGTGTGTACTACATGAAGTTTGTGACAACTTGAACCGCTGGATTTCTGTTCATCTGACAACTTGCGTGCGTACAAATTGCTTCCTTCAATATTTCATTTCTCAATTTTCAGCTCAGCATTGCTCACAGTACTTATCTCGTCATATTGCGATTGATAAATAGGCTTCAAATCGTATTGTTAGTCAATAAAAGCTGTGTATTTTGAGTTCCCGCCCTGCTCTGCCCTACTGCAAACACTATAACATGGGTAGCATCAGCATCCCTCACACAATATACGTGGCTCCCAGCCTGGAATATCTGTCGCGGATAACTGAGTTCCGAGTAACTAACGTGTTGCATTCATTAGCATCTGAAGATTAAAATGTATCTGTAATTTGGTCTTAAAAATTTGTAATAATTGAATAAACTATGTCGCCACCCCATGCTTGATTTTGTCACCAAGTAGACTGAAACAGAATCTAAGGATTGTCGATCAGTGGGTTTGTGAACTAACTCTTGAATGGAAGATTTTGACGAAGTTAAACTTTAAGCACCACTGACTGCCAATGGAGTGCAACCACACCATTGACCCTTGAATGGTCCAGTGAATTTTATTCACGTGAGTTGAAGCCTCTGTTCCACTTGATTCGAGTCAAACGCCTACCCTGCCTCAGTCGTGTTTGCAATTTGTTGAGCATATCAGGTCTTCCAGTATTGCTTAAATATGGGGTTGATTAGGAAAGAAAGGATTTGTTCATATGGAGGTGTAATGACCATAAAAAGCTTCAGCAGATCTTTTGATGGACGTGTGCATCGTTGTGCAATCTGTTTGAGATGAGTTAGTGTCAGGGAAGGTAAGCTGATGATTCTCATATTTCGTAGGAACATTTTTTGCCAGGTCCCATCTATCCTTAAGACAGATTTTGTATATTTGTGATAACTGAGTTTGAAAACAGTCTGTGAGAGATGCAGCTGCTGAAACTGAAAATAGTTTCGTATCAACAGTTCAGTGGTACCAGCACTACAGGGATATCGCATCCTGGAAAGTGGAGAGGCTTACTCCCTTATTGGGAGGTGTCGTCATACATGTATGAGAAACTGTCTTATTAAAGAAAGAATACAACCGTTGTCAAGAACGAGCGAATAATGTTTGAGTGATTGGTTTATATGATACGTCTCTACAAAAAGGATTCGTCGAGAGAATAGCAGATAGAAAGTCAAGTACTTTAATACCTATTATTACTCAACTGGTGAAATAAGGATCTATAATACACACAGAAGATTGGAAAGGTTATAACCCGTTGTCATCCCTTGTATATATTCACTACAGATTCAACCATTCTAATGATTTTGTGGATCTCATTACAGGCACCCACACCAATTCTATCGAAGGGAAATGTTAAAAAGCCATTAATGGATCTCAAAAGGATGTTATTTACAGTCATTTAGATGAATATATGTATAGGATGCGGTGTAACTTTTCCACTAATGCTCCTATGCTAAACTATAAGACGTTTTTGTCACATTTGAGAGAAAGGCATCCTATGTAACACTTTTATACAGTGTTTATGCATTTTTTTCAATAAATATATGTATTCCATACCCAAAAATACCTCTCTCTTGTGATTGGCGCGTTCAAGGCAAGTCGCTGATTGGCGGTTAGTTGTGCTTAAAGTTAAACTCTGCCAAAGATTTTTGTAATTTTTTAATTTAACGCCTAGTTCCATTGTCATATATCAGCAGTCAAACTGATAATAAAATTAAACATTAGTGTGAAGCAGGAATTTATTACGGAAACATCCCTTCACAATTCTAACTTGTTAACGCTTCTTCTCTATTATGCGATTTTCGAATATTCATTTAGTTCATCTTGTTCCCTCTTAAATTACTAATATTATTTTATAATTTTTTTTTAGTGGTTATCAGTCCTAGTAACACTAGCTGGAGCATTAGATCAAAATGGTCTATCTTATACAACTTTATTTCATGCACGTGATGCATGTTGCCCTGGAAGGTTAGCTGGTTTTCAATGTTTTGGTTCAACAACATGGATACTTTTAATGCCTGTTCAACTCGGTGCAAATGGTTTAAATTTAACTTCAGCAAATCATGTACTTTTTATTGATCCAGTGTTATCACATGCAAGAGAAGCGCAAGCAATTGCTCGAATACACAGAATTGGACAAACAAGGTATTCATTCATTGATATTGAGTTGCTTAATGACTTCTCTTTACATGGGTTTCGTTTAATCTCCTATTGAAAGTGTAGTAAATTTAGGGTATAATGTAAAGAGGATTTCCGGTATGTTGGATTTCTTGAGTAGTTAATATTTTGATGTTTTTCTTATCGTCTTCTTCTTTAACTGAAAAGAAGCATCTAACTAAAGTAGCCCAAGTAGTATTAGAAAAAAACATGAATAAATATATTGCAGAATAATAACAAAAATCAGTTGTATTCTACTAATTTTTCAATGAATTTATGCTCTATGGTCAGCGTGTTCATCAGTTATAGCAAGATATATATTGCCCCTATTAACTACCTTGTGCCGCTTAGGGAGGTGGGAGCGGGTTGGTATCTTTTGGTACTCCCCTCACAATGCTCTCCTGTGGCCACAAGTTCAAAGCCTCTGTCATGTAAGTCCCATTCACCGCCTTCATGCGGCGAGGGTGTTCCTCACAAAAGTGAAAGGACAAGTGCGAAAGTCTAGTGTTTTTACAACCAGGCTGGTGGACATGCTGGTCTCTCCTCAGAATAGCTGGGAAACCCTGACTCCAAATCTATGATGTACAAAGGCTCCATAATCTGAAAAGATTGAGCGATTGGTGAAACCCGTTTTAGTCACCGGAAACCAAGGGGACTCAGCTGCTGATGACGCTTCATTGCCTTGTGAATCAGATTTCAAGTCAAAGGCTTGAGGAGGAGGAGGGATGTGGTCAATAATACAACCGCGTACTTCAGTCTGGGCGTCTGAGTAGTATCCAAGCTATGGGATTTCGTGTGGCGCATCTGTTTCATGTTTGTATTTTAATAATAATTGAAACCCTCAGCATCCTATTAATAATGCTATTTCAGTTTGGAGGAATTGAGAATACATTTCAGAAAATCAGGAGAGAAAAAATTGATTAATTTTGATATTTTTACATTAGTCTTCTACATATATTTGTATATTTATAAGTCATATTTCTCGAGTGTTGTCTGTGTGAAATTGGGTAAGCTCCCGAGGTGCGTCGGTGGCACAGCGGTTAAGACGCTCGCCGACCATGCACATGGTCCGGGGTTCAATCCCCGGCCACCGACGCACTCCTTTACCTCGCTAAGCCAACAATAGAACTGGTAAAGAGGGAGGGTTGGGCATGAGGCTAGCAACCCCATCTCGTAAAAAATAAACACCACTGCTATAGAAACTTCAAGCCTCTATCTTGAAGCCGCTCTATGTTTCACTGGGAACGTGAAGGAATGAAAAAATAATAATAATAACTCCCAACTCAGTGGTTGAACAGTGAATCCTCAGCGTATAGTAAGTTGTAACTAGGGCAGTTTAGCTAAACTGACTGCTAGAGTTCCAGTAGTGAGTGTTTTCGTTCAATATTTGTCACTAGTGTGTGTGTGGGTGTTTGTATATCGAGAAATCGTAGGATATATGTATAAACTTATTATAATCTAAAATAACCCGAGTGTTTCACTAAGAATGATTTTAAGACTGACTGACTGACATAAAGAAAGTCAAGCTAGACAGAAGTCAATGCTTAATCATCATCGTCACTTATTATTATTATTGTTCCCTTGGGTTCCTATTGGAACATAGGGCTTCAACTGCACGCCTCCACTTGCTTCTGCTGTACTTTTCACCTACATCCATGTTAGTCCATACTGTTTCAAATCCTCTTCACACGACCTCCTCCATGTCACCCTTGGACGTCCCACTCGCCGCTTTCCTTTCGGATTCCACTCCAGGGCCTGACGCGCGATGTCACCCAACGGCCTCCTCAGCGAGTGTCCGATCCATCTCCACTTTCTCCTGCATATTTGTTGAACGATTGGTTCTTGTTTTGTTTGTTCCCATAGTTTCTTGTTGGTGATTCTTTCCGGCCATCTGATCTTGAGTATAGAGCGAAGACAGTTGTTGATAAAGGTCTGCAACAGGCTGTTGGAAATATTCTTTGTAACCCGCCAAGTTTCTGATCCGTACAGCAAAACTGACTTGACGTTTGCATTGAAAATCCGAATTTTGTTGTTGATGGAGGCTGAGTGATGAAGATTTCCAGATTGGTTTCAGGTTGATAAATGTGTTTCTCGCCTTCCCGATTCTCAATTTGACATCCTTGTCCGTCCCTCCTGTAGTTGAGACAATGCTCCCTAGATAAGTGAATGAAGTAACCTCTTTCAAATCCCTCCCGTTGATGGTGATCGGCGCTGGATGTTGCTGCTGTTGTTGTTGTTAGTTGGTTATTTTCATAACCTCCATTATGTCTATGTTCACCTGGAGTCTTGTCTTTGCTGCCTCTTCGACCAGTTTGTCGGTTTTCACTTGTAAGTCTTCGATTTTGTGTGACATCAAACATAAATCATCCACGCGCGAAATCCAGGTCTTCTAGGTTCTTCACGTCGGTCCAGGATAGCCCTGTCTTCTCGTTTCCTAATGTCTGACGCATAATCCAGTCCACTACAATTAGGAATATCATTGGTGATAATAAGCATCCTTGTCTGACTCCTGTGTTTACTCCAAACGCCTCGCTGAGTTCTACATTGTGGATCACTTGACATGTGCCGTCGTCGTACAGAGCTGTTGAATAAGGTTGATGAATATTTGGGTTGCGCCGTAGTACTCGAGTAGTTTCATATTATTTCATATTATAACGATGCTTAATTTAATATTGTCATAAAAAACAATTAACACAGATCTATATAATATATAGTATTAATGATAATGATAATCCTTTTGGTTTATGAATTTTACTCAATTATTATTTAGACCTGGAATTGTTCATCGTTTCTTGGTTAAAGATAGCATTGAAGCCACCCTGCATGCATCACATTGTCGTAATACAAAAGTTGGTCCGTATAATTTAGACACAGAGTGTATGATTGGTGCTGGTACAAAACGAACCTCTTCTACTGCCTTGGGTGTTGCTGGCCCTAGTGAAGATAGAGAACAATTAATGAGTATGACAATTGGACAGCTTACAGAATTATTACATTATGAGTGCAATACAGCTATGCTAACAGATGAAATGGCATTGCCATCATTTTCTTTGATATAAAATACTATTTTCTTTTGTTTGTTCTTTGTGTATATTTAGAAGCATTTTTTGGTTTTGTTATAAAGTTGTTATTCCGCGCCGCCCCCCGCGCCATCATGTTAAAACATTAATTTACATTTGTTTCAAATGTTATTTTCATCCGAATTCTGTTCATTATAGTTAAGTCATCTTAGAATCATGAACCCTATCACGCACCTACATGCATTTGGGAGTTACTGCCTTCATTTCGCATTATCATATGAAATATATATATCCTCTTTTTGAAATCTCAATTTACTTTTTTCTCATTTCTTGATGTTGTTTTAATGAGGTTCGGATGGCTAGTCTCATGCTCAGCCCTTCACTCTTTTCTGGATTTACTACCGACTAGTAAACACTAGACGAGGTTGAGGAGTTTGTCAACCGGGAATCCAACCCGCACTTTCTGTTTGGTTGGCAAGTGTTCTACTATTGAACCAGTGATACAACACCTACTATAATTGGTTCGAGGATTTCATCATGAGCGGTGGGTGCGTACTGATGAAGAGTCACAAACTCTAAGACGAATCAGCTATCCAGTACTCTCAGGTTTTCCAGTGGTTCTCTAACTGATGTCAACTCATGATGAAATCCTCCAACCAATCAAACAAAAAAAATCCCTACAAAACCAATACTTGAAAATTGATCTGATGCTCACTAGCTACTGGCCCTATTTAGGCAGTTACCTGGGGTTTTATTGAGAAGCCGTGACCAGTAGGGTACACCAGGTTGAAGGCAAGGCAGTAACTCATCGAAAAAGACAATGGCTAGTGGCCGCACTATGTCATGTATCGTCAGAAGTTGGAATTTATGGGCTGGCCATTGGATTGGGTCCCAGTGGCTTAATGGTCTACGAGCTAACTAGCTCGCCTTGTAGCCAGAAAGTCCTGGGTTCGAACCCCAGTGGATGCATACTTCTGAAGAGTCCCAAAGAGCTTGGACGGAACAGCTGTCAAGTACTCCCTGCAGGTTTTCCAATGGTTCTGTAACTGATTTCACCTCGCGATGAAATCCTCCAAACAATCAAACAAAAAAATCCCTACAGAACCAATATTTGAAAAGCCTACTATAATTGTTGCACATATACTCTACCAAAATTCACCTAGTTATTCGGGTTATAACGGATGAAATTAGAGTGGAGATTACTTTTTGTGAGTAAGATGTGCATAAGATATAATAATTGTTGTAAAACTTCCAAAAAGTAATTACCACACTATAAGAGAAATACTTAGTATAAAAAGATATTTGATGTAATAGGATCATAAATGGGATTGAAACAGTGTAACCTGAACTAGAGACATTTTACAAGATAACCAGCATTTACCAAGTGTACTATGAAGTGTGGTTATTATTCAGAATGGCAGTTTATTCGAATCCAGCCGCGAAATGTGAATCCTCCAGTTATTTTCCCACTCAACACAAATTACATTTCAAGCTTTCGAACAAAATATATATATGTGCTCATTCACAATAAGTAAAGTGTTACTCATCAAGCGAATTGTATTTTTGAGAAATGGTTAGTCGGGAAATTGTGCTATTTCTTTTCTTTCCCACTCAATCGAATTAAGAAGTAATTTTCCCAAATCCCAGTACTAACTCGAACTTGTTTTCAGAATCAAACAAGAACCACACGGGTTTTTTTTTAAAGTCCTTTACTTTCCCGGTGGAACATAGGGCTTCAAACACCAGTGGTGTTTATTTTTACGGGATGGGGTTGCTAGCCTCATGTCCAACCTTCCCTCTTTACCAGTCTTATTATGGGCTCAACGAGGTAAAGGAGTGCGTCGGCCGAGGACCAAATCATGGATCACATGCGTGGTCGGCGAGTATCCTACCGCTGTGGCACTGACGCACTTTAAAGAGTTTCACAATGCCAGTAATTCAGTAGTTGCATCTCCTTTGAATGCCAAAATTATATATATATATTTTCCTTCTGCACCGTTTGTTTGCATGCATTTCTCTCTGTCTGTTCTCATCATAGACACCAACAAATTTTTCTAGATATTCGTTATCATATTAGTAAGTTTTCCATTTTCCAGAGTGTTTGTTGTACAGACTTTTCTAGCACGAAATACTACAATACTGATGAGATGAACACACGAACTGAAATGAGTGTATTGGCCAACTCATGACTTCTTCCGGAAAATGACTGCCTTCGCTCCACACGGAACTCTGGAAATGAACAAATCGTCAGACAAATATGTCAAGGAAAACGGGGATGGACCGGGCACGCGCTGAGGAAACCGAGCGCCAAAACCCTCGAGTGCAACCCAAATGGAAAACAACGAGTTTGACATGAATCCGAGAGTGACATAAATTAGATTGTGTGTGAAGATGGGAGGATATGGGCAGTCGCACAGCCAGCTGAAGATGACTTCAAAATACAGAATGAAATGAAGATACGCTTTTGAAGCCCTATGTTACACTCAAAATATATATATACATTATTTAACCTACTAAAGGTATATACTTAATGAGTATCAAAATTGAGATCTACCATGAAATCTATCGGCCTACCGCAGAGTTAACAACAGCCACGGTTGTGCGGTTACAATTTTGAAACTAGCTCTGAATACAGTGGTTTCGACGGGTCAAGTGGTAACAACATCTGCCATCATAATATGTTTAGTGTGGCGTTTTTCAAGGTGTACGCATTTGAAGGTGATTTGACGAGTACCGTTAAATTTTCAGGTCTGAACACTCATTAATATCAGTCAGAAAACCAGGGAGAACTTGGCACATGTTTCGTCCTCGTTCGGGGCTCCTCAGAAGTGCGCACCTATGACAGACACTAAGGGGGATCGTACCTTGGACCTTCGGGATATGAGACGAGTTCGCTGTCTATTCAGCGACTGGGAGGGAATCTAATAGCTCGTGAATTCTAATCTCTGTCAGTTAGCGATATATAGCCAATGTCCTTGGTAAGTTTCTGTCCTTATACACAACTTGGTGGACTCCTCCAGACCACTTGCCATTTTCACTTGGTAATACAATTAAAAGCATTAGAACTTACTTACTTACCACACGGGGTCGTGTAGATTTAATCTTGTATTATCAAGATGATAACTGAAATTTAGACAGCAAGAATTTGTATGTATGTATGTTTGTATATAACAAACACACTGTACATAATTTTATAATCCTCAAACGAACTGGGACATACACCTACACACATGAATAGACGCACAATTAGTTATTATCATACATATGGGAATAACCAATAGAGTTAGAATACTGAATATTAGTTCACTACATATAACTGTATACAAAATTAAAGAAATGAATGAACAACCTAGGTATGACTCATTGATAAATAAATGAATTAAATGTGTGTGTGTGTGTGTGTATCAACATTTACGACTGAAATTAACTAACTGACTGACACCTTACTAGGCTTACCAAATACATTATAATAAAAATATGCCCAAATAGTATTTTGCTCATAATCCTATACTGTTTGAGTGACTCAGCTACATGTCATTTTATTAGTGAGTCACATTTACAAATCAGAACTGAAAGTAGCCAAAATGTTGCCAAGTTATTCCAGAGTCAAGATTATGAATGAACTAGAATTTGGACACAACTGTTGTAATATATTTTAATAGCCTAGTAACATGACGGTTAATTTCAGTAGTAAGGTTTATATGTTTTTAACATGTATCCCATACTCTCTTTTAAATTCGCTTGTATATTGCCTAATTATTAATACTTCGTCGGCATAGTAACCAAACTGTTAACCAGTTTCACTATTTCAAACTTCGCTTTCTTGATCAAGATTTTAAGTCCTAGAAATACTATAGCAGTTTATTAACTTTGAATAGAGAAAGCCACTTACATTAACTAGCTACATTTTAGATAGTACTGCTGTGGTGTGCTACTGACACGGTTTATAAGTAGTATATATATACAGATATAAATATGTGTATCGTCTGCAGGAATATCGAATAGCGCAGAGATGGATTTAATGGTGAAGAGAAGAAATGAACGATGCTTGTGAAACAATATGGAAGGCGTGAAACGAAGACAAGGAAGTACAATAAGGGAAGACAAAGGTAGCACAATACCGAAGATATAAGCAAATTGTGATTCTAATATAGGGTTGACGTGTTTTGCCTATATCTGTACATCGATTCGCCAATTAATAATTCCATTGCTTTATATTGGAGACTCATCGTACTGAAGTTTCTGTAGTAGTGCTCTATATAGGGTGGGGTTGATAGCCTCACGTTCGAAAAGTTGTTATATAGAGATGTAAGTTGCAGAGGAGCGACTTTTTGGGTTGCACCCTTTAGAATCGGGGAAATAATAAATAAAGCGATGAGAACCAACCAGTAACCAATTGTACAACAGATATGCAGGAAGAAACGGAGGTGGATTAGCCATAATCTGAGAAAACCATCAAGTGACATCACACGCCAGGTCATCGCTCGAGTGGGACGTGAATGGGAAGCGGCGAGTTGGTCGTTAGTGTGAGGGTGACATCGAGGAGGTCATGCGAAGAGATGAAAGCATGTGGGCAGACGTGGAACCAGGTGTAAAGGTTGGCGGAGAACCGAACTCAGTGGAGACGCGCTGTTGAAGCCCTATGTTCCTCTAAGAATTAAAGGAAACAATAATAATATGTAATAATAATTCTATATATTCATGTGTTATGTCAATAAATTACTAACTCGTGTGACCAGCCCTCCGAAAAACTTGTCCCAAGGTCAACTCTAGTTCATGACGGCACATCATATAGTCAAAATGATAAATACGACTCGTGACCAAACACATACTGACAAAACTGAGCTATTTTAAATAACTTCGCAGTCTCTCAGCTGTCTATGAGCATTTACTATACACAGGACTAAAACGACAGCTACCAATCAGTATTAAAATAGTTCTCAAATTACTATTTATCATACCCTTAGTATTTATCGCTGCATTTTAAAATAAACGTTAACTTAAGTTTCAAGGAAAGCCACGAACTGATACCAACTAGA